GCTGTGTTATTTCAGTTTTACTGCTCAAAAGGATTTTTAATGCTTTATTTTTCTTTTGGGGGAAAATTTAGCTCACTACTTGATCTTTATTTACATTCTATTAACAAAAATCACATTCTGAGATGATGGTGATAACAAAAAATAGTTGCCTATTCTCTTGACAAAAGCAAGTGATGATTTATGAAGGATAAGAAAGAGCAGTGATTTAATTTATGCTACTAACTCAGGAAGAGATACAAGAATTTGTAAATATGTGAAAAATTTTGCTTTAATTTGCATAAGGAAAATACTAAACTCATGAAAATATATAGAAGGAAACTCCCTGTGGGCTTATGGCAGAGTTATATAGGGATTTTTCTCTTCCTATCATTCAGGTATATCCTATATACAAAAATAATATAAAGCACAAAGTTCCTGGTAACAAAACACTGGTGTATATTCAGTAATTTGCCCTTCTACATTTTTTTTTTTAATATTGGGAAAGCCAAACTGAAGATTTCTACAAATAATTGAGCATTACTTTGTCCTGTACTAAAACACAACCCCTACAAAGAAAAATTACATAGTGAATTTTCAGCTGATCTCCCCATAAGATATTTTAAAAGCACACTACACCAGCAAAGGTATTACAGCATATAAGCCTGAACCTGCTTACCCAAAAATAAATACACTGGTTATGAATCCTGTCAATTTCTGAGGATTCTTATTAACCAGTCTTTTGAATTAGGAAGTTTGGTATATTTTACTATTTTCTTAGTACTACTAAGACCAAATTTTGTCACTACACCGATCCTGCCAATCTCCATCATTATCCTGCCTAATTATACTTCACATAAATTATTTTCCCAAATTATATATTTAGTTGTCTGACTCCTTCAATTTTAGCCTTCATTACAGCAAGGGCCTTACTTATTTACTTATCACTAAAATTCTGGCATTTATAAAAAAATAATTTTTTGATGAATAAAAGAAACAACAAAAAGTGATGTAGGTATTACATTTCTTTCCTGTAGCAATAAAGTCATAGAACACATAACTTGTATTTCTATTAGAAACTATTGTGTCTTTATTTGAGGATGCTTGTCAAATCTCAGGACAAGTGTAAAACTCAAGGTACAATTAAAAATGAAAAAACTGATATTCTACATCAAGGCTTTTTCAGAAACTAAGTGCTAATAAGACATACTACTTTATTAACTTCTATTTCAAAGACCTTCAACTACTTAAAAAAAATCATGATTTGACAAAAAGTATTTCCTATGCATTACATAGAAAGAAAAATGTAAGTGCATATTTTTACTGAGATATGAACAATATATCCACAAATAACTAATATTTTTAGAGACTGAATACTTCTATTATATTATTGTATTATGTTTAAAGGAAAACTAAGAACCCATTTAGAGTAATCATCACTTATTGGTGTTGCAGAAGAGATTTCCTTTTCTTTAGAAAAATGTATAATATGTGATATATTGCTAGATAATCTAAAATCCCATAGTTTGCAAGAAAAAATTTTCAAATATTTTTAAAAGACAAACTATCTCAAAAGTAGCTCCCGAAATCACAGCTTTCAATTTCAGCATCTTGCTTCAAATGACTTTGATTACAAAAGAATAATCATATATAACACAGTATATGATATTTATTTTATAGGCATATTATTACTTAAGGCTCTATTTTAATATTATTCATGTATATTAGTATTACCAGACTGTTCTCCGAAGAATATTATCTTGGGAAGTATCAAAAAAAAAAAAAAAAAAAAAAGGAACAAAAGTACTCAGGATAGTAAAGAATTTGAGAAACTCCGAGTGAGAATTTTTCAATAATTTAAGTCCCATCTATGATAATTTGCAGACCACATTTGTGAAGAGATAGTACAGAAAAAGCTTTATAAAATAATTCCACAGGTCCAATACAATGAGCTCTATGATAAACAAAAGATGCAATGGAATCTTTCTTTGCTATTTTAAAAATTATAAATATTCAAATTTATTTTAAAAATTGAGGATGGAAGGTAACAGCAACATAAAGTTATTTATCTCAAAGCAAAGTAAAACAAATATTAAACATAATTATTGGTTAAATATTATAAGTTTGATAAAATTCAGACACATAAACTTGGATGCTATAATCTACATATCAAATACATGAATGATTAAGGAAGAATTAAAAGTAAGTTGAGCATAGTCATATTATGAATAATGGATACTAGAAAAAAATTAAAGTAGGTATGATATTGCTGAAAACACTACTTTCTAAGCATAAAGGTAATGGGGAAAAAATGACCTAGGCAAAAACTACAAGAAAACATTATAGAACAAAAATAAAACACTTACCTATATGTCAAGATATAATAATAAAAAGCTTAATTTGGTAAAGGTATTTAAGGGAAGGAATGATGTATAATGAGCTAATCTGTAACTCAAGTGAAAAGAACTATGACAGCACAAATTACAAACAAGGAAATAAAAATGAATTGTAAGTACTTAAAAAGGTCCTAAGACATTAGTACTCGAGTAAATGCGAATTCATATAAAATAACAGGACTTTTAATCTTCTAAATTAGTAAAACTCTCAAAAAATGAGAATTCTCAACCAAGGCACAATTATAACCCAATGTTGAGAGCTATGGAAATTACAACATTTTTGGACATCAATTGGGTAACTTATATCCCAAATCTTAAAACATTTTTCCTTTTCTATTCTGTATCTTAATGAAGAGATATATTTTCTAATTATGTGTGCATAAACACATTGATCACAATAGAAAGCGAAAATGATTACTTCATGACTTTATTACTGAATTACCTAAATTAGATGGGGTATGACATATCAAATGGATTCAATTACATAGATATTAAAAAAAATACAGACTAAGAACAACACAAAACATTCAGAAAATTCAGCAAACTAACATAAGATACTAAGCTGCATATTTACTAGGAACACAGTGAATTTAAAACTGAAAAATATACCAAAATGTTAACAAGTGATTCTTTGTATAGGGAGATTAGGGATAGTGATCTTTTGATTTACTGTTTTGGGTGTTTTCAATAATGAAAAATATTATTTTAAATTGGAAACATAAAATAAACCTATTCTTTAATATGGAGCTTTCCTTCAAGAGAAAAAAAATAAAATTTAAATATTATCAAGATTCCACTGGTAATTTCATTAAAATTTCAATTTTCCAAATCCATGTAATGGAGAAATCCAGAGAAGTATGACATAGGCCCTTAGGCAAAAATCCTAACAATGGAGCCAACTCACCATCTAGTAATTCATGTAGAGGAATCTGAAACAACCCTGGAGCAAATGTTCAAATAATAGAATGTTCCATAACTTAGGCAGCAAGATAGTAATTCACAATTAATCCACAAGCATATTTTAAATATAAATACTAAATCCTTTGATTTCCATTTTTATTAACACTTTTTAAGATATTTCTGAGAATATTCTCTTCATTTCAAATGTAAACAAGAACGTATGCTTAAATGATTTTTCTTTCTTAGAAGAAAAGTGCAATACATTAAGATGTTCAGTTTCCTTAATTAAACATAAAAATCTTCCTGTAAAAATGAAAGAAGGCAAAGCACATCTCTCTCTACCCCTGGGGAAACTTTAGGTGAATCTGCAGCCCTGAATTGTAATCTTTGGTGAATCTGCAGTGAAGCTGATGGATTTTAATTAACTCCTTCTGCAATCCTTAGTGGTATGGAGGTAAAAGGGCCAGAAATTTCAGGTATTAAAAATATAGCTACAATTTACTTAATGAATTATTTTGCTTCTAAATTAGTAGTATCGTTTAGCTTTGAAAATATATAGATGTTTCTGTAATGCTGAAAAAAAATTAAAGTATTTTTTCCAAAAACTTTCTATTAAAAAAGATTGAAATTTTATAAAAGTATTAAAAATAGTATAGTGAACATATCCTTTCCTATAAGTACCCGTTACCAAACTTTAGCAATAGTTATTTAGAACCAATCTGTTTCGTCTATGAGATCACCTACTTCCCAGTCCCTACAGACTATTTTGATTTAAATCCCAGACATTCTGTCTTTTTGCCTGTGAAATTTCAGTATGAGTTTCTAAAGGATACTCTGGAACATATTGATAACAATATTATTACATATACAAGACAAAAAAAATCAAAATTTTCTGACTACTATGTTCAACAGTTATCTGATGGGACTGGGGTATATATAAGTTCCACATACTACAAATGGATGCTGTCTATGCCTCTTAAAGTCTCTTGAATTTTTGTTTGTTTGTTTGGTTTGGGTGCTGTTGGTTGAATTCAGAGCCTCTGGAACGTAAGGCAAAAGCTCTATCACTAAGCTGCCCTCCTAACCCATATTTTTTTTATTTTTTTTTTAATTTTTTTTATTGTTGGTTGTTCAAAACATTACAAATTTCTTGATATATCATATTTCACACTTTGATTCAAGTGGGTTATGAACTCCCATTTTTACCCCATATACAGATTGCAGTCTTTTAATGTTTTAATCCATTACTTTTTTCCCTTTCATGGAATATTTTGTTAAAGAAAACCAGGTAACATGTCCTGTAGAATTTCAGAGCCAGTTTCCAAGATTATAAAGCTACTTATTGACAAACATCATTACAGATTGGTTTCTGGAGTAATAGTGAAAAAAATGAGACTAGGCTAGAAGACTAAATCACAAATGTGCAACATTAAGACATAGCACTTATTAGCAAAGTCAAGGTAGAAAAACCCATAAGAAAACAATTGCTCTAACATTTAACTACAGAAACAGGTAGTCAAATTTTAATTTTTCACCAAACACATTAAAATGCTAATAAAGTAACCCATTTAAATGTGTGTGTGTGTGTGTGTGTTGGGGAGGGTACTGAGAATCAAACCTAGGGCCTTTGCATTCTAGCAAGTATTCTTCCTCTGACTTACATCCCCAGTCCAAACCATATACATCTTAAGGGTACATAACTTGAATAGCAAATTTGATAGTACTCACCAGTCTTCATTTCTAGTAAGCGCTTTTTCTTTTGCTGGCGTTCAAGTCTTTCTTTCTCTGCTAATTCTTTAGCTATTCTGGCACGTTTTTCTTTTTCCTCTGCTTCTCTTTTTCTGATGTTCTCCTTTATTGCTTGCTATTACAAATAAATTTCAAAAAATGATCAATTTTAACCAGTGATTCTAAAGAAAATGGAAAATTATCAATCTGAAATTATATGCAAGGTAGAACCATGACTGAATATCATTTAAATAATGGTTAGTTCTTATATTAGTAACAGTCTTTTAAAAGGTATGCACATATACCTGTGTTAAATATATTTTATGCCTATAAATACACCATAATGTTTAAAACACCTGCATCTAAGTGGAATTAACTAACTAAAAGGGAGAAGAGAGACAGAAACTAAAAATAAGAACATTTAATTCACAAATCAAATGAGCTTTCTAACATATTTTAAAAAGTGTCTTGCAACTGTATTTGTGTCTTCCATACCTTCGCTGCTTTAAGTAAGTTATTAATATAAGGAAAATGGTTAAGGAAATGATAGGAAAGATCTGATATCTATGGCTACTTTATATTATGATCAATAATTTTTCAATTTTCTCATAAGGGGAGAAGTATTAAAAAGATAACTAAATAAATATTTGGTGTTTCAGAAAGAGGTACTCTTGATGAAAGCCAATAACAACATGCTAATTAAAATAAGTTCTCAATCAATATGTGATTAGTTACTGAACTTCTTATTTCTAAATTTTATACAAGAAATTCATTTCATGTGGCATCAGCAGGAATCAGCAGGTAAAGATGGATTTTTGTTAAGTGCTAATAAACAGCATGGCATCTTATTACATATCTTATAGAGATGCCATTTATTTAAGTGCCAATGAAACAAAACAGGCTATCACATTAGTTTACTACCAGTGGTATTAAAAAGTGCTAATTATACTCTAAGTCGATGGCTTATATTATATTTGGGGATACTTTATTTTCATTGTGCATTCTTTCTTCATTTTATAGTTGCAGATAGACCTATACCTTTATTTTATTTATTTATTTATTTATTTTTATGTGGTGCTGAGGATCAAACCCAGTATCTCTCACGTGCTAGGCAAGTGCTTTGCCATTGAACCACAATCCCAGCTCCTATTGTGCATTCTTTTTTAACCAAGATAGTGTAAGTTCTTCATTAGAAATCATAAAATGAAGACAGATATTATTGATCAAAACAATGAAAGGGAAAGAACAACATACCCACTCATTCATTCAGTACATAGGCACTAAGACCAAATGATACTGTTCTTCCAAGGTGGGGAGTGGGACCAGGAGAGTTGGTTTATATTTGGTGTGACAGAGCAGAAAACAGACAATAAACAGCAAAAATTTGATGTATATTTAAAAAGAAGTGATGTGATGAAATGCCTGGAGATTTACATTAGGTGGTCAGATAAGGCCTCACTTTCTCTGTTGTTTCAAATGTCATGGAGCTAATTATGTGATGATCTGGGGGAAGAACCAATCAGGTAGAAGGAAGTGTTAATGTCAAGGTTGTTTGGAGGTTGAAGAGAGAAAAAGAAGGAAAGTATATTGGTAATGAGTTCATGGAGGTAAGCCGAGGCCTGATGAGTTAAGATCTTCTAGGACAAAATAGGGGAGATGGATTTTTTTTCAAGGGTACCAGAGAACAATTGGAGATTTTTAAGCAGGAAAATGTAAGAATAGTACTCAAAGATAAAAACACTAATCAAGCACCTTCATTCCAAACCACCTTTTCAAAAGTTACTTGGCCCTCTTTACATTGCCCTGTTGTAATATGGGCTCAAGAACCTACAAAATTGTTCTCTCTTGCTACTGCTATTGCTGCAAGTAGAATAATCTATTCTTCAACTCTGACCATAGTGTTGCATTTTTTTGCCAACATCCATGAAAATGTGGCAGCTTAAATTGTTATCTTGCCAGTAGGTAAACTCTTTACAGTTCTTGACATATATTACTATTATTAAGCTATAAAATACCAGTTGTAGTACTAGATGCTTTCATATGCAATCCCTACAAAGCTCAAATTTGACTCCATATCATTCATTCTGGCACAGAATGCTAAGTACTTGCTCACTGCAATGAAAGTAATAAAAGGCAGAAAGATTTGAAAACTTGCTACAGTCTATGTTTTCTACCATGTTGCCTTATATTACAGTCACATATGTTAATAGCTATGACAATGTCAGTTATAAAGTCAATATATTCTATGAAGGTAGGGGAAGGCATCATGAAAGAAAATAAACATGGGTTAAAAAATGAGTGTGTGTATGTTAATCAAAAAAAGCTCTTTTGTGTCCCATGTGGGTATGTATAACGGCTAGGAAGAATGTATTGTGATGAAGAAACAGGTAAGCAAATATTCAGTAATCAAAACTATTTCTTGCCTAAAGAAAATGAATAAAAACAACCATCAAAAGTTAAGTAATATATCACGCAGCTAATTTATGAAATTTATTATTGTATAAAATTTGCTGATGTAAATTTTCTACTTTAATAGATGGATATATTTCAAAGTGAATATTTAATATAAACATCTATTATCAGAAATAATTGCCACACCCTTTTAGAATTCTACTGGGTTATAACAAGTCAAAATTACTTTGCAAGATCTATAAAAACAGTGTTTACATTTAGAAATAAGGTCTGAGGAAGTTCCTAAAGCTATTTTCTTTTAGGGAAAATGCACTATTGATTTTCACTTAAAATTCTGCCTCATTTAAAACTTATCTTATTCTGACACTATATTAGGAAAAGAATTTTTAGGTGGAAAATGCCAACAGCATAGAAAAAGGTATTTAGTCTGCAACTAATATCCAGTTGAAACAGTAATTTGGAATTTTCTTTTATGCCAAACATAAAGAAGTAAAATAGCCCAAAATAGAAAAACCAAATGACACTATTTTAGGTACAATGGCTAAACCAGTAATTTGAAATTTTCCTTTAAGCCAAATATTAAGCAAAACTAAGCCAAACATTTAACAAAAATAATCTAAAACAGAAAAAGTAAATATTTATAACATTACAACTGCTTCTTAGTTATTTCACTCACAAATTCAAAACCAGGAAGGAAAATAAAGGTGAGCTGGACATAATGAATGATAACTGGCTATAAGACACTGTCCCTCCACCCCACAACAAATCAATTGAAAATATATATACTCACACTGAACCCACTGATCACTTTTAATTTTTATTTATTCTTTTGGTTATATATGACAGTAGGATCTATTTTTATATATTTATATAGGCTTGGAATATATCTTAATCTAATTAGGATCCCAGTCTTCTGGATGTACATGATGGGAAGATTCATTGTGGTGCATTCATATATGTACATAGGAAAGTCAAGTCAGATTCATTCCACTGTCTTTCATTTTGCTTTTTGGTACTGGGGATTGAATTCAGGGGTACTCAACCACTGAGCCACATCCCCAACCCTATTTTGTATTTTATTTAGAGCAGGGTCTCAATAAGTTGCTTAGCGTCTTGAAGTTCCTGAGGCTGGCTTTGAATTTGCGATTCTCCTGTCTCAGCCTCCCAAGACCCTGGGATTACATGTATGTGCCACTGCGCCTGGCTGTCTTTCCTTTTTCTATCATCCCTCCATTCCTTTCATTCCTGTTTGTCTAATTCACTGAACTTCTATTCTTCATCATCCCCCTCCTTGATGTGGGTGAATCCATACCTCAGAGAGAACATTGGACCTTTGTTTTTTGGTGACTGGCTTATTTCACTTAGCCTGATAGTCTCCAGATCCATTCATTTACCAGCGAATGTCATAAAGTCATTTTGTTCATGGCTGAGTAATATTTCTTTATCCATTCATTTGTTGACGGGCATCTAGACTGGTTCCATAGCTTAGCTTCTGTGAATTGTGCTGCTATTAACAGTGATATGGCTATCTCATTTTAACTCCATTGGGTATTTACCAAGGAGTGGGATAACTGGGTCAAAAGGTGGTTCCATTCCTAGTTTTGTGGAATCTCCATACTGTGTCAAGAGTGGTTGCACCAATTTACATTCCCACCAATAAGGTATGAGTGTACCTGTCCCCATATCCTTGCCAAATTTGTTATTTTGTTTTAAATGTTGAAAAAAAGCATATGTTTAGAATTAGACATCTGGACTCTGTAGATGATTTCAATTTTGTTGGCAAAGTCCAAAGCATCATAATCGAGAGCCTTCTCTCAATCAGGCCTGATTAGGGTGTTAACCTTTCTCATATCAATGTCATAGAACTACATTACAGCTTCTTTGATCTGGTGTTTGTTGGCCTTGACATCCACAATGAACACAAGTGTTTGTTGTCTTCAATCTTCCCCATGGCTGACCTAGTGGTTGGGGGAACTTGATGATGGTATAGTGCTCAAGTTTCTGAGGGTGCTCTTCCAAGAAATTTGGGGTGCCTCTAGAGCTGCAATGTCTTGGGTCTACCAAAAGGTAGGTGACATGCAGATCTTCTTCTGTTTATGGTTGTGGACTCCCTTCAACACTCCCTTCTTTGGGAGGGGCAGGAGATTCATTCTTAGCTTTAAGTGCAATGTGGGTGAAAAAATGTCAACATTTACAGTTACTTGTATTCTTGATAACTGCAATTCTGGTTGGAGGAACGGGGAAATCTCAGTGTAGTTTTAATTTCCATTTCTCTAACTACTAGAGATTTTGAATATTTTTTCAAGCATTTGTTGGCTGTTCATATTTTCTTCTTTTGAGAAGCGTCTGTTTAGTTCTTTTGCCCATTTGTAGAATGGGTTATTTGTTTTGGTTAAGTTTTTTTAGTTCTTTGTATGTTCCTGGAAATTAATACCTTATTTGAGGTATTGATGGCAAAGACTTTCTCCCTTTCAGTAGGCCCTCTCTTCATGCTTTTGATTATTCCTTTGTTGTGAAGAAGGTTTTTGTTTGACACAATCCCATTATTGATTTTTAAATTTTACTTCTTGTGCTTTAGGAGACCTGGTTTTCTCTTTACTCAATTGAAAAAAAAAAAAAAGGTTGTACTTGCACTGGCACACTATTTTCAGCTATACATTACCAAATGACATTCTTTGAGAATATATTCCCAGATGAAGCCTAGTGCATGCCCTTCTCTGAAAG